TCCATCGAAGGTGAAACACACAGCTGCGGTATTCACAACTGCATATGGTTGGGTTTTGCGCCAGGCTAATTTTTACAGTCCTCTATTTCATCTTCCTGAAGTAGCTCCTGCTCTAACTAGGGAAGGTCTTGAACAGCCAGTGCCAGATTGACACGAGGCCTAATTTTATCAAACAAGAGCTGGAAGGGCAGTCTGGAACTGCGTGTAGTTGTAGCACAACATATGATGTAATATGCCGTATCAACTATTGGTGTGTCATACACGACAAGCTTCGGGACGCCCGAACAATGAAATCATGCCGCCGTGAACCTTGGAACACACAATCTTACAAAGGGAATATGTTACAGGGCGCGCACACATATATCATATTTTCCACTCCGCAATGTTACTTTGCGCGGCACAATCATTAAACTGCACGGCTCGCGCGATCTATTTTTTCGTCGCCCTAATCATTGTTTTCATGTGCCAAGTCGTCAATTGTAATATTCGCATCGTGCAGACATACATATTTGTGGCCGTGAATATGTATATATACGTGCGCTATATATATATATATATATAGCAACTCCTTTTAAGAATCATATGACGGCCAAAACCACACAACCCTATTCTTCGGACGCTCAAAACCAGGATGCGCACATCCATAGCGCACATGCCTGAAACTTGCCAGACGCGCGTTCTTCCTATCCTGAAAGCCGGCGCGATTATGAACAATTGACCATTGGGAGCAGGCTTCGATGTTTTCTGATGAGGTGACACTGACATGCTTTTGAGCCGGAACCAATCGAGAGCACGGTCTGGTCCCCCGAGAGACCCTCGCGTGGGGCTCGCCGCAGTCGGCCCGTGGGAGCCACTCGCGTCATTGTCTTGATCCTGGGACAGGTGACCTGTTCCAGGATCAAGACAACGTTGCCACCATTGCCACCATCGGACATGCAGCATATCGTTGCCACGCATGCCATCATGCTCATAAGAATGCGTTTACGTTGTCGTTGCGACGTGCGTCTTCGTTTGAAACGCATTTTGTTTTGCAATGCATTTTGTCGTCGAAAGCTTGGCTAGCTAAGCCCCACGCCTGAGAGGTCACCGAGCAGAGCGATGGACTCATCGATGTTTTTTCCCTTGGCAAGGGCTGCCTCAGTCTCGCGGTCAGCCCTGGCTCGCCCGGACTTGGGCCCCGGCGTGGGCAAAGTCCCTGGCCCGCAGACGTGCAGCAGCCTGCCAGCAACGACCAGCGCTCGTGTGAGCAACTGCTGGCGGGAGGAGGAGGAGGAGGAGGAGGAGGAGGAGGAGGAGGAGGAGGAGGAGGAGGAGGAGTGAGGAGGAGTGAGGAGGAAGAGGAGGAAGAGGAGGAGGAGGAGGAGGAGAATGAAGAGGAGGAAGAGCAGGAAGAGGAGGAGGAGGAGGAGGAGAGTCTCGGCCCAATGTGCGGGCCCCAAGGGGCACTGTGGTCGGCTTCGATGCTCAAAAGTGACCCTTCGACTCATGGTCACGCGATGGCGTCGTCGATGCGAGATGGTGCGCTGGCCGTGGCGCATGTATATCCAGTCTCCGACCGACATGTACCTGACCATGGACCCTCTTGATGAACCGCGATCTTTGAATGGAGCCAGTACTCGTGTTGAAGTCGCTGGCACATCCACGGAATCTGCAGCGTTCGAAGAATTTCTGCAAGGCGACGGACGGGTGCCCTCGTGGACCAGCACCAGAACAAACGTGTATGATTGAAAACGGATGATGACAGCAGGACGTCGTCGAAGCACGCGTGCCCGTTGGCGCACACATTGGGCGCGTTGATGGTTGCAACGGGGAGTCGATGTGCCTGAAGATGCGCATGGTTGATTCAGATCTCGACACCCTCGTTGGCGCGTTATCTCTTGCTTATCGTGCTGCTCTCACCCGTGACACGAGCTAAGTTGACCACGTGCCTCAGCTTCTGTGAACGACATGTGGAAGCCCACTGTTTGATCCGCGTATCGCCAATGTGCGTCTCGACCAAGCTAAACAGCTCAATCGAATTAGAGGAATCGTTACTGGACTGTAACGCCCAGGCGTGCCCCCACGCCTTCTTGCCCAAGTCCGTGCAATTGGCAACGGAGAACGTGCTGCGATCCACGATTCCAGCCCCCCCTATTTTTTTGAACCGCTGGAAGTCATGGATTTACTGCCGAGGAGGAGGACGAAGAGGAGGAGCAGGAGGGGTAAGGGGAGGAGGAGGACGAGGAGGAGGAGGAGAAGGAAACGGAGGAAGAGAAAGAGGAGGGGAGGAGGAAGAAGAAGAGGAGGAGGAGGAGGAGGAACAGGAGGAGGAAGAGGAGGAGGATGAGGAGGAGGATGAGGTCCTGGGACCCAGGAGGTTTGGGGTGAACCGCAAAACCCTGGGCGACGAACCAAGAACCGTACGCCTGGCACAACTGCCCTTAAATAATTACTCTTATCTCTTCTTGATATATCTTCCTCCCCTCATTCCGCCACGGTGAATCTTACAGCCAGCGTTTTTCTTGCTTGCAACCTGCTATTGACAAACAGGAAGTGCATACAGCCTGACCCCTCTGCTCCACAGCCGTGGACACGTGAGCAATCTGCCCACGCGCCAGTTGTGGGGTACACGCCGCATGCCGTCCCCTGCAGCACCACTTACTATGCTTGCCGTGTACTTGCGTCACTTACAGTGAGCGGCTTGAATAAGGAACATCTACTTTTCAAAAGGGGCTCGGTCGTTCCTTAGGTTTGCATGCGTTATTTACAGTTCCTTATGCGTTATTTGTTTTTTGATCGTTCCTTATGCGTTATTCCTTGGGATAAAAAAGGGGCCTCGTTCCTTATGTATCGTTCATTAGGTCAGGCCGATGACTGTACTGTACCTTGCCTCATTCCTCAGCTTGGCTGTACAGCCTGTGCAACAAAATGGACGGGGGGCTGGGTTGCACAGGATAGGAGCGGGGGGACATGTCTCGTACAGTCCAGGGCAGCAGTCCCGACATGGCACTGCTCGACGTACTTTAAGTGCTGACCCGCGACGGCGCTCACCATTGAACGTAATGTTCGTTTACCTTATTTTGGCGCTATGACCCTACTACGGTGAGTGTCGTCACACCTGGCGGGCGCCTACTCTAATTACTAATCTTCTCCAGTGCTGGTGCTACCACATTTTCCGCGGCGCCCGCCAGGTGCCCCTGACCCGCGTCGTCATTGCATGTTGTGTTCCGCCATCCCAAAGGCCACAGCTTCACGCTCAGCTTGGTCTAACGTAAAAAAGGAAGAGGAGGTGGATTAGGAAGGAGGGGGACGAAGAGGAACAACAGCAACAGCAGGAACCGGAGTGGGAGAGACGGGAGGAGCGGGAGAAGGGGAGAGTGAAAATGAACGGGTCGACAGCAACGAGGAAACATTCGGATCCAGTAAAGTGGCCCGCGCTGGGGCGATGACGCCACTCTGAAAGATGGGAGTAACGCGCCGATCTTGAAATGAGGCCCGCGCTGCAGCGGCAGCACCATTTTGAAACAGCGGGAACGCTCCTGTGGGACACTTTGTCTGCAAAAACGCAATATGCGCGGAGGGGGCAGGTGACGCTCTGGCCATCTTCAGGGAAGCTCGAAGAGTCGTATTCGTAATTGCTACTTTTGCAGGGGGACGGGTGAGGGGGGAAGGGGGAGGGGGGGAAGGGCGAGTTAGGTGCGCTCGCGTCATATCCGACGTCCTGCCCCTCCCTCCCATCACTTACCGTGGCGTAGATCTTTTTTTATTCGCACAGTCGGATGTCGTAGCGGCGCGTAGCATTACATGGCATAGCCTGGTGTTGAAGAACAACGCGTAGCCTGACATAGCATGGCGTGGCGACGCCCCAAAGTGGGGGAGGGCTTCTGCGGTCCAAGAAGTCAGCGAGTCGACACCGAATGTGTAATCACTTTCGATGGTTGCATCGGGGGGCCATTTTTTTGAGTTTTGGGCTTATTTGGAAGGACCGAAAACCATGCCGTGGCATGGCGGTGAAAGTAATGACGCCAGCGCTGCAGCCCGTTCGCGACTCGGAACGAGCAGCGCGGAAATGAGGCCAGCGCTGCAGCGGGAGCACAACTCGGAGGACACAGCATGGCGTGGTGACGCCCCAAAGTGCGACCCAGCAAATCAACGAATCGACACCGAATGTGCAATCACTTCTGATGGTTTTTTTCGGGTTGCATTTTTTAGATTTTTGGGCCTATCCGGAAGGACCGAAAACCATGCCGTGGCATGGCGCTGGAAATAATGACACCAGCGCTGCAGCGGGAACACGACTCGGAACGGCGGAAGCGCGGAAATGAGGCCAGCGTTGCAGCGGGAGCACGATTCGGAACGAGCGTTAGCCCGAAAATAAGGCCAGCGCTTCAGCGAGAGCAGCATCTTGAAAACATATCCAAGCGACAACCCGTTTCCCGGGAATCTTGCGTGTAAAAAAACAGTACGCGGAGGGGGGCCGAATATTTCCCAGACATCACCAGGGGAGCTAGGAGAGTAGTATTCATATTGTGTAAGTGTGGAGAGGTGAGGGGGAGGGATTGGGGGACTGCGCGCCCACTCTGCGAGTAGAGGGGGGGTCCTTCACCAGGAAGTCCTACACAGGTGCGCCTGACATTCCAACACGCCCACTTCGTGCAGGCACGGTGGCGGAGCTGGTGCTCGGCCATAGAGAGGGCTGACGCCTACGAGGCGTTGAGCTTCGTGCGACGTCGGCCGAAGAGTACTTCACCACCCACCAAACCACCCCAACCCAACCCGAAGGCTCAGATTTACCCTCGATTTCCAGTGGGGGGGGGGTCGGGAAACGTAGAAAAAACACATGTGGAACCCTTACCCCCCCCAACCCGAAATTCGGGTCTTCGGGTTGGGTTGGGGTGGTCTGGGAGGTAGTCAGTACTGGTGCTCCTTTTACCGCTCCCCTTCGTCAGCCGCCCTTCTCCTCCACTTTCGATCGTCTTCCTCCCGGCGTCCAGCGATCCCTCCGACCCCGGACTGCCGAGGTCCAAGGCCGGCGCCTCGCGCCTGCTGGCGTTGGTCGGGCCCGAGGCGGCCGAGAAGAATTCTGTCAGGACGCGCCGAGGAGGCGGACGAGGATCAGGAGGGGGGCACCCGACCGAGAAAGGTTCGACCTAATTCACAGCTGCATGCACTCATGGAGGGGGGGACTAGCCGAGATCGGGATCCTCATCCTCGAACTCCGGTCCCGCCCTCTTCCTCTCCACCACTTGCCTCCCAAGGGCTTTCGCCGCAGCGGCCGAAAGGCCGCAGAGCGCCAAGCCGCGGCTTCAGTCCGCGAGGATCAGGAGGGGAAAAGAACACGGACACGAGTGGTCGTCGGCTCTCCGGAAAGGACGGGAAAATGTTGGAAGTTGGTCAGAGCCCCGAATCATCAGGGGTAACTCGGGTCAGGGCTAACTCGGGTTCCTTTTTCGGGAATCCGAACCCGAGTTATCCCGGACCCGAGTTACCCCGGATAATTCGGGCATCCAGAGCCCCGAATCATCAGGGGTAACTCGGGTCAGGGCTAACTCGGGTTCGTTTTTCGGGAATCCGAACCCGAGTTACCCCGGACCCGAGTTACCCCGGATAACTCGGGCGCCCAAGTTGGGGGGGGAAGCCGAAAACCCCGAACATCTCGTGAACGACAGGGGATATCCTGAGATTTGTGTGTGCATTGATTGGCGTGTCCCTGTAGAGGAGCAGGGGCGGAGCGGGAGCGGCGCGCAGCAGCAGCAGGAGGAGCACGGGCACGGGCAGGAGGAGGGGCCGGTCGGGGCGGGCGAGGGAGGGATGACGAGGCTGGGGCAAGGGCTCCCTCGAGGGCGCGAAGTTATTCGCGCTTCGCGCTTCGCGGTCCTCGTTCCTTCTCCCCCTCCTCCTCGTCCTCCTATTCTCCCTTTGGGAGGGCGGCGCGAGAGCGCGAAGTTATTCGCGCTTCGCGCAGCGCGAAGCGCGAAGTTGGGAGCCCTAGCTGGGGATGAGGATGAAGATGCTGATGCTGCTCTGAGGATGATGCTGATGCTCAGTATCGTTTAACCGACCCCCATCCCCATCCCCATCCCCTTCGAGACCCCCACCGAATTATCCCCCAGTTGGGGATACACCCCTCGAAACCCGAAGGGAGCGGCCTATATCCCCATCTAGGGGGAGGTAAATCGGCCAGTGGGGCCCAGGCCACGCCGCTGGGGATAGGGATCAGATAAGCGATGCTCAGATGCTGATGGTGATGATGGTTGTGGTGGTAGTGATGATGGTTATGAGTGTGATGCTGATGACGGTGATGGTCACGAGGATGACGATGATGATGGTGATGATGACGATGACAATGATAATTGTGATGACTGTGATGAGGCGAAGGAGGAGGAAGAGGAGGAGGAGGAGGTGAAGGTGGAAGTGGAGGAGGAGGAGCAGGACCAGTGTAAACACACAACGCCTCACCGATGTTGCAATACTCCCTCCGTCCAAGTTTTCTCTTCGTAGGTCCCCTCAAGGAATTGTTGTCATTGTGGGAAGTGCGCCGTTTAAAGACAACCAGTCTGGAAATCATCAACTGTGCCAAAACACCATTCCGGGACTTCAGCGCCGCGAGTGAACAGTGTTACTTTGTCCTGACGGCCCTGCACCGTACCAGAACGCCGTTCCTGGACGTAGCTGTGGCGCCCGGACAATCCTACATCGTGCAATTTCTGGGACGTCATCGATAAGCATCATTGAAACTGGTACAAACGGGTAAGAGGAATGCGCGCGGCGCTAAGGCGTGAGCCACATTTTGAAAATGAGCTGTCCTCCATCCGTGACGTTTTTTTTGTGCGTGGCATTTGTTGCACAACAATGTGAAAGCGAATGCGCGCGGCGCTAGAGTGAACGCCACATTTTGAAAAGAAACCACCCTCAATCCGTGAACCTACTGTGCGCGACGCTAAGGCGAGAGCCACACTTTCAAGACGCCATGCCCTCCCTCCGTGAAGCTCTTGCAACTTTTGAGCTTTAGGGTCCTACGTGGTAAGCCAGTCTCAGGCGCAACGCCCTGCCCGCTTTTCAAACACGCCTCGGGGTGCAACACGGAATATTCATTTACAAGGAAAGCAGGAGGAGGATGATGATGAGGATGAGGATGATGATGATGATGTTGATGATGATGATGATGCTAATGATGATGATGCTGCTGATGATGATGATGATGATGATGATGATGATGATGATGATGATGATGATGATGATGCTGATAATGCTGATGATGAGGATGATGATGATGATGATGAGGAGGAGGAGGAGGAGGAAAAGGAGTGCAGGCGTGGGCGCAGCTGGCGCTGCAAGGGGCGTATCTGCGCAATGCCGCAGGAGGCGTCCCGCGCTGTCGCCTCTGCGGGCGAGCCACGGAGACGGCGGCGCACCTCCTCCACCATTGCCCGGAGGGGCAGCGGCTGCTACAGTGCTGCGTGGAGGAGGGCCTCAGCACGCCGGAGGCCAGGGCCGCGTGGTTGCTGGGCGGCGCGCCGCCAGATCAGGCCCCGCAGGCGGCAGCGGCGGCGGCGTGGCTGCTGCAGCGCTGCGAGGAGGCCCGGCCCGCCCTCCGTGTCGGCGCCAGCGCGCCTGGCTGCCGCGTGCCCGGCCGCGCTGCCCCCGGGCCCGGGCCTCTCGGGATCCGGGGCCCTCCCAGGCCCGACCGGCGGCGTCTCTGACGAGGGCCTGCGGCGGGCCGACCCCCTCCGGGGCGCGGCGCACGAGGCCAGGCAGGTGGTCCGGCATGACTGCCCTCGCCCGCGCAGCTGCGCCTCGGCCATGGAGGGGGCTCCGCCGGGCGGCCAGCGGCTCTCGGGCCGACTCGGCCGCGTCGGCGATGCTTAGGCCCCCTGACCCTTGTGGCCCGGGCGGGGGCGGACGCGCGGGCGAGACCGCGCGACCGCAAGCTGCGTGAAGGTGAAGGAGGAGGAGAAGGATAAGGAGGAGGAGGAGGAGGAGGAGGAGGAGGAGGAGGAGGAGGAGGAGGAGGAGGGTGGCTCAAGCGCCACTCCACTTCAGGGGAGGCCCTGGAGTGTAGGGCTCGAGGCAGCACTCCTTCCAGGCTTCCTCAGAGACCTCTCTTCCGAGCACCATGGGATGGAATTGGAACGAGCCGATGACGCAGCGTCGCCGCAAGCAGCGCCCATATGTGGTGTGCGGCGGGTGTGGTGCATGGCAGTACGAGTCCAAAGCGAAGAAGAAGGTCTGGTGTAAGTTTTGCGAGCCTTTCCACATGAAGGAGGGCACCAGCCAGACAAGTTCCGATACCGATGGAAGCGCGCGCAGCCAGTCCGAGTTGGACATGAATACCGTCCTGACCGCCATCCTAGGCGTCCTCAGCGACGCCCGGAAGCAGGAGCTCGGTCCAGCGGCACAGTCAGCAGCAGCGCTGATCACCGAGAAGCGCCCGCAACCAGCAGCAGTCGCCGTGGCCGCCCTCCAAAAAACCCGCCAGCACGAGAAGCGCGTCGAGGAACTCGATGCCCACCTCACCGACGTGGAGCTTCAGCTCAAGGAGGCCAAGACGGATCGCGAGAAGGTCGCCGCGGAGCTCATCACTGCACACCAGAGACTCGAGGAGGCCAGCAGCCAGGCCACCGCAAGCCATGCAGGTGGACAGCGGCAGCCAGCAGCCCGCAGTAGCAGCAGCAGCAGGCACGCCGCCAACAGCAAGCGGACCAGCGGCGGCAGCCGTCCCCGAGATGCCCCCCAGGGCTTCGAGCAGCCATTAGCTGACTGCAGGGGAGCGATGCTGAGCAGGCCGCAGCCTTTGTCGCCCAGCTAGACGCAGCCACCCAGCAGGGCGAGGCCCCACCGCCCAAGAAACTACCTCTGGGCAGGCGCGAGGGCGAGCGTGGGCGAGGGCGCGAGGGCGCCGCCCCGTCGTCCCAGCCCCGCCGCAGCGGCAGTGAGCCCAAGGGGCGCTGGGGTGGTGCAGTGGGCGCCGAGGGGGAGAAGGACCTCTGACGGACCCGCAGGGCGAGCAGTCTCGCCCAGAAGCCCCCCCGCACCAGGGGCGGGCCGTGAACGCGGCATAGACGACATAGTCCAGATCTCGCATGGCAGCGAGAAGCTTCACCAGGCTAGCCGTCGGGGACATCGATGGCATCATCAGTCTGACTTCTAGCAGCGAGCGTTCTGACAGTTTTGCGTCATCTATCGAGAGTATCAGTGCCGTTGGAGATGTACGATCTCAATTAAATGAGAGGCAGGGAGGTCGGGAACAAGCGCTCAATATCTATCTCGCCAACATCACCAGTTGGCACCGCAAGGCCCGCGACTACATTCAGTCGGAAGATTTCCGGAGACCGCATGTCATCATGCTTTCCGACCTGCACGTCCTACGTAGCGGTCTTCGCAGCATGCGCAAGTTCATGAAGAAGCAGGGGTATCGAGCTTACCTCTGCCTAGCCGCCCAGACCTCAGCCACAGGGTCACATGGTGGCGTCGGCATTCCTGTGCCCCGCAGCCCCTGCTCCCACAGTCGTGTTCTAGGGGCCAAAGGGAGGGGGGCACCGCTCTATGGCGGACAAGGTGGACAGCCTGCCACCTCCGCCTCAAAAGCTACAGCATTCCCCTCATCGCAGCCTGCCTTTAGAGTGGCGCGGGATACAATGAGTACAATTTGCAGGCGACCGCCCAGATCGCCCAGACCATCAGAGCCCATTAGTTGCCCTACATCACCGGGGGGGGGCGGGAAGATGACCAGCCAGCGGCTCATCGAAGGGGGCATCTTGGTGGAGAGCATAGGTGAGGTCCCCGTAGAGGCACAGGTAGAGTCCACGTGTAACGGGCGCGTGATTGATTATTTCATGGCGTCGGAGAAGTTAGGGCCCCCCCCAGAGAGTCAAGCCAGACATGACCAGCCCCTGGAGGCCAGATCTTGGGTTGCGAGGGTAATTTCAGACGGAGTATCTCAGCCAGACCAGCACGTTCCCCATGGAGGCCCCAGACATCAGCAGGTTAGGGGCTGCCCCGAGGCCTTGGGGGGAACTCCACATTCTGGCCTTGTAGAAGTACCCCGAGGCCCCCGAGGTCCACCGCCCTGTGGCGAAGGACCACGCCA